GCAGGACCTGCATCTGTCTCCCAGGGTGTGGGCGTGTGTGCAGATGTGGGGGGTTGGGTCCTGCCCCAGACCTGCCCACAGCATCAGAACCCCTGGGGTCTCCCTCCCTTCCTCTCCCACCTTCAGGGACACTGGGGTGGTCTGTCTGCCTTCCCTTCCTTTAAATCTGACAGTGGGTGTCTGAGAACCACAGCCCTAATGCAGAAGTGGTTTGAACACACAGAGCCGCATCCTAGAACCGTTCTAACAGCAGTTTGCGTCTCGCCGGGCCCCATGTTTTGACATGTCTCTCTCCAGGTGCGCACGGTATGGCCCACTCAGCGAGGAGTCAGCCTGCTTAGATCCCTCACGCCACCCCCTTCCTGTGGCCCCGCTTGGTGAGATAGCTGATGAAGTCCTGAGCCGGTGGGCCTGCTCTGGTGACAGCCTCGTTTCTGTAACATGCCCCCCCGGGGGGGGGGAGCACACCGCTTCTCCCCCCGGACCCCCGCCCTGTTATAGCCACCTGGTGTGCGCTTCTGGTCACCCCTTACCCCCACCTGAGCTGTGGGCCCCTGGCCCTCTGTCCGCTCTGAGGATACACAGAGCCTGCTCCGCCTCGCGTTCTCGCCCGCTGTCCCTCTGCCCTGTCCCATGGCGCCCCGCGCTGTCCCTTCCTCAGGTCTCTGCTGAAATGTCACCTTTTCAGGGAGAACGTCCCTGACCCCTATAAAGTAACCACTCCTTCCCCCCTTATCTTCTCCATCTTGTCCACAGCGGCCAACACCAGACACCCCCAGGGAGCCTTTCTTTGTTCTGTCCTTTCTCCGCTCCCACCCATGGGCCCTAGACTAGGCTGTCAGTTCCAGCCCAGCCCAGGCTGCCGTGGCCCAGCGCCCGGAACTGTTGTGCAGCAGGCACCTAGTGAGCGTGCTGAGTTAATCCACTTGGGCAGAGGCCCCCGGGGCACTGCCATCCCCCCCCACCTCCCTCCCAGGCCCTGCCAGCAGCATCTGTATAAAATACAGCCCCTGTTCCCCGGCTTCTCCACCTGCCGGTGGCCCCGAGCCTTCAGGAGACAGTCTAAACTCCTTCCCTTCTGGGCAGAGGTGCTTCAGGAGCTGGACCCCATGCCGTGCTCACCCCTGCCCCTCCCCACGCTCGGGCATCCTCACTCTTATTTAGCACCGACTGTATGCTCCTTGAAAGAAAGCGATGTGTGGGCGTGAGCGCCCCACCCCCACCAGGCAGGAACCCCTAAGGAGATGGCAGGGACAGGACAGGGGCCTCAGAAACAAGTGGACACACATGGGGTAACTTCAGAGCAGGACAAGTGCCAAGCCAATCGCTAGGGTTTTCCGTTCAAAGCACAACCGAGGAGGCGTTTACTGCTACAGCCACCCCCTCAGCCAGTAGCGCACGCATGCACAGCCAGCCAGGAAGGTGTGCAGCCTGCAGTTTGACTTTGGGCGGGTCCACGCTGTGACTCAGTCCCGGGAGAGACTCCCTTTGAGGTCACTGAACTCTGTGATGGGGCTGCTCTGGGCATCTCAGATCTCTCAGCTGCCCACCCTGAGGGCACAGGGAGGGATATAAAAGCCTCCTTCTGGGCAGCACCCTCCAACCCCGACTCCCCCACAGGCTCTCCCTGTTCCTGGGAGAGGGAAGCCAGCCGGCAGGCTGCTGTGCCTTCTGTGGGTGACGTTCGCTAAAGCCAGGGTGGGACCCAGGTCAGGTATCCCATCCTCAGCTGCCCTAGCAGCGTGCACTGCCTGGACCTGCATGCCGGGAACCTCACACATGTCTGGATGGGGAGAATAAGTGAGCTAGTAGGTGTCAGGTATCTTTAACACCTGGGAACCAAGGTAGGGGACCCTGGGACCCTTGGGTACATTGCAGAGTAGGCATGCCGTCTCCAGAGGGAGCTGGGGTTGGTGGGAGAGGCCTGCCTTCCTTACGTCAGCCTCCTGTCACCTTCTGGACTTGGTGAGTCTGGGGAGAAACACCTGTATCAACAACATGACTCCTCCCTTCATGATCCTGGAGGAGAAAGCCTATTTTAATAAGGAAGGTTTAAAAAGATGTTTAAAAAGATGCTCAACAAACTGATTAAGACTCATCAGCTTGTTGAAATGTCTCCAGCCTCTGTCTCAGGACTGCCACTGTGTTCTTTGAGAGCCCTGGACAGTACTGAGCTGCAAGCAGGTGAATAGCCACGTCGTGAGTTTGTGCCCCGATCATTTGCAGACACATTCACTCATGGTCCCGGGTGGCCTGGCAGCCCCTGTGTGCCAGACTGCTGAGCTAAAGTCTGTAGGAAAAGAAACACCGTTTACATAATGCCTGCCTGCAAGGAGCCTGCAGCCCGACGTGGAGAACCTTCCGGAACTCTAAGGGCGGAATGAGGTCCGTGTAAGGAGGAAGAAGCAACTGATACAGACGTTAGGGGCAGGGAGACTTCCTCATGGGGACAGAGACAGAGTCTTAGAACACATAGCCGGTTTCCAGAGGTCGCCGTGGCGGCCGGGAGGACGGTGGTGGAGAGAAGGAGCAGTTAAGTCACAGGAGCAGCACACCTGCTGGTCCACAGGAGTCAGTGTGTGGTCGGGCCAAGGGCACCGGGCTTCCTCTCCCTGTACCGCCCTCCCAACAGCCCCCCGCCCAGCAGGCGTGTCTCTGCCTGCCTTCATCCGCGGAATCCCCCAGAAGGGGTAACTTAATGCTGGGAAGTGTAAACAATCCTCTTTTATCTCCCTCCTCTCCTCTTTGGGGGGCTCCGTTTTGCTTGAATGGGAGGAACAAGTGAAGCCCTTGTCGAATGGAAAGGACTCCCCCACCCACCCCTCGTGCATTCTTTCCAACAAGAACGCTGGCGATTGCCGGACCCAGGTGACATGTCCTCCCAGAGCCCAGTATGGGGCCCCGTCATGTCATATTTGTGTATTTTCTTCACTCCATAAACACCATGCCCCGTGGGGGTGAGTTGCTGCGTCAAGTCCCCGATGTCAAGCGTCTGAGAAAGCCTCTCTTGTTCAGCGGCGGTACCTCTTCTCCGATGACGCAGCTCTACCCATTTATCAGAGGGAGAGGTAACCGTCCCGTTCAGCAAGTCGGGCTGATGGTCGGCTGCACCAGACCCACATGACCCTGATGGGGCGTTATGGCACTGTGGTCTGTCACCATGCCACACACATTGCTAGCATCACCGCATCCCGCCCAACAGCCCTGTAAGGCAGCTACAGTTCTGTGCCTGTTGCCGAGGGTGATAGATGGGGTCGCTTTGAGCGCCAGGGTCTTCCTCCTCCTCCTCCTCCGTCAGCACCGCGGGCGCCTGGACAGCATGTGCTGGATGGATGGGTTCAGAGCTGCAGTGGCTCAGGCTTTGAGGCCACCAGCCCGGTAGCTGGTTCGCTGGTTGAGGAGGGATTTGAATTTGATGGCACAGCAAGATCCGACAGGACCAGCTCTGATGTGCTTGGGAAGGGGGTGCCTGTGAGGGTGAACTTCTACCACAGGGGACTGTAGCCTCTCTCCTCTCAGACTCTGCAGGTGGCCCTCTGGTGGGAATTCCCCCTGTCAGAGCTGTTTCCTTGGGGGAAGATAATTTAAGGCTCTGGATGTATCGAAGGTACCTGAGGCGTGTTTACTATCCAAACTCTGACTTAAAGCGATGCCTCGACTGAAAACAGGGGCAGGAACAGCTGGGCCCAGTGTTCCCCTCTCTCTTCCTCCCTCTCAAGCAAGCAGATGGCAGGGAAGGTGGCACAAGATGCATGATTTGGAGTCAGACAGCAGTTGTCCTGTCCACCTTCTGTTACTGCTCCCGACCAGTGTGAGCTGCGGTGTCCTGCTCCGTGGGCTTGGGTTTGCCCACCTGTAGAACAGGGAGGGAGGTTGGGCTAGCTCCCTGGGCCCAGAGCCTGGCCCACCGCCCAGCGGCAGCAGCAGCCTCCCTGGGGGCCTGTTGGGAACGAGGATCAGACCCCAGTCCAGGGCTGAGGATCAGAACCTGTGAGCCCCGGTGCTCAGGTTCCATGTCCCAGGCTTGTCAGCTGCGGGCGGCGTGTCCAACAGCTTGGGCACTGACGCCGGTCAGTCCCAGGGCTATAAGCGTCTCATTGGATCCTCACAAGACCTGGGAATTTAGGATGTGTTGTTCCTGTTCTACGGATAAAAATGTGAGGCCCAGGCGGCCAGGGAGCTTTTCGAGGTCAGCTGGGCCCCTGCCCTTGGCCGGCACACTGCCCTGCCTGTCACCGAGCCAGCCGTGTCTGGGTTTGCGTGGAATGAGAATTGCCTCCGTGCAGGTTTGACCGGGAGACTCATGGCTGTCCCTGTGCCGTCTCGTCCCCAAACAGGAGCCTCCAGACCACCCTGCAGCCCCCCCTCACCCCTACCTCAGGGCTGAGACTGACCCTCTCCCCTCCTTTGTCTCTCTGTCTCCGACAATCCCTGAGGAAAGTGCCGGTTTTGCAGCCTCTGCGGCAGCAGAACTTCTCAGCACCCCAGGGCAGGAATGCCAGGGGCAGGCGTGTCCTTACCCGTGCTGCTGCCCCAGGAGGTCTGAGCAAGAGCCAGAGGACACATTGATGGTCGTGGGTCGGAGGGGCCAGGGGTCAGGGCTGCGTGAAAAGGGGAAGGGAGGAACAAAGTGCCGCTTATAAAAACAGTCACGCGATGTAACGTGCAGCACAGGGAAAATGCTCAATAATACTGTAATATTGGGTCGTCGGAAAGTCATGATGTATTTTTCTATGGTTTTCATTGCAAAAATGTGTCATGATTTATCCGACGACCCAACGGTAACTCTGCGCTGTCAGATGGGTACTAGATGTATCAGGGATTACTTTGTAAGTTTTATAAATGTCTCATCACTATGCTGTACACCTGAAACCGATGTGATGCTGTATGCCAACTGTAATTGAAAAATAAGTTTAAAAAATGATCTAAAAAAAGATTAAAAAAAAAAGAACTCGGGGTCCCCTCTGGAGGCTGCAGTAACACTCTGCTCCCCTCTGCAGGTGACAAGCCCTGGGCCGCAGGGCAGCTGTGACAGACCTGGGACCTGAAGGACGAGGAGCTAAGCCCCTGGCGCCTGGTGTGTGCTGGCTGCCAGGAGAGGCAGAGGCACGATGGCAACAGCGTCCCTCATGCCAGCCCTGCTCCGGCCCTTCCACGTCCCTGGAGACCTGACAAACACGAGCACCGAGGAGCAGCTGATGGGCGACGCTGAGCTTCTGGAATACGTTAGCTTGTTGTTGTGAAGACTGGTGGAGGGGCCCAAGTGCTGCCTTCCACGAGGCGTGTCCGTTCTCCTTCCACGCGGGCTCTGCTGAAGGGGGTCAGTGCCCCCTTTAAGGACCAGCAGTGCAGCCGTCAGCCAGCCTCCGGCCAGCAGCTCTGCAGAGCCTTCCAGCTTTGTTAGCCGACTGCGCTCGCCCCGGCCCTTCCGCAGCTGGGACCTGTTTCACGGCCGTGTCTTGCCAGCCGGAGACTCCGAACTCCAGCTCCATTGCCAGAGGGCTTTTGTGGCCAACAGAGAAAGCTGTCCTCCTGTGGGGACAAACGCCCAAGTGAAATCTGAGAACCTTTTGGGAGTCCCTTCAACAGACTGTTTCTGGGGTTGCTGCCCTCGGGCGCTGGAAGCCAGGCACGCACGGGCGAGGAAGCAGGCGGGCCACCCACCAGCAATATGGGGCTCCCGTCTTAGGACAGGGGTGTCTCTGCCTCCATGACTCAGCAGGGCTGGCTCTGAGACGCAGCAGGAGGGCTTGTTAACGTTAGGATAAAGAGGTATGAGCACGTCCATCCAAGTGGAATTGTCCTTGCAGCCACCCAGAAAGCCGTCTCCTTGGTCTCTGAAATGAGCTATGAAATAATCTGAAGGCATCAGAGCTCCAGAGCCTGGTATGCCAGCCTCCCTCTCTGCACCGGCACAGACAGGCCCACAGAGGAAAACGCCTTGAGGAGGGTCACCCTGCCCTCAGGCCAGGAGGGTGTCCGCATCCAGGCTGCGCCCGCCCCCTGTCACCTCCAGCCTTGCTGCCTGTCACATTCCTTCACAAGCGAAGGTGCCAGCTCCTGGCCCTAAAGTCCAGGCTCCCTCAGGGGAGCCCCGGGACAACTGGGGGCTTCTCAGCAGCAGATGGCAAACTGCCTTTGGATTTTCTAAACTGATCGAGACTTGAGATCAGGGTTCTGGCTTTCCCCTAAGGACCACAAATGCTGCTGTCCCCGGTGTCCCCTCCTTTCTATTGCAAAGAGCATGAAAGCGGACACTCCTCTTCTGGGGCCGTGGGAAAGGCGCCATTCTCAGATGCCACGATGCGTGACTTCAGCAACCGGCTGAGGACTAGAATGGGCCCTGTTGTTCTCTGCAGATCAGGCCTGGGCCAGGCAGGGTGCCCGTTACGAGGACACCACGGGCATTGATTCTGGGAGTGCCGTTCCCTCCCTCCCACGGCCTCCCCAGCACACCTGTGTGGAGGGACCCGGCAAGGGGCCAGACCCTCCTGCGCCCCGACTCACTGCGCTCACACAAAGCACCTCACCTGGAACGAAAGGTCAAGGATGATCAGATCTGTCCCCGAGCTAGCTCGCAGGGAGGCGTGACACACATTTGGGCCCCTTTCTCAGTGTGGAAGAATACCTGTTTGTCCCTGGGCACGGTGACACTGGGGACACGGGCACAGAAGTGGAGCTGCCACTCCCCATGCCCGGGCTAAGCAATCCGTGTGCCGCAGAGCTTGAAGGCATTTCTCCAAGTGGCATTCTATTCTGAAAGGGCAGCCCGGCTTTTTTTAAGTTCCTGTCTTGAGATTTATCTAGACTGATTTCCATATCGCGTTCTGTGTACGTAAAAGGAAAAAAGATAAGTGGCTGTAGAAATCCGGAAGTTTGGTGACATGGAAGTTTAAATCTCTCTCACATAAAATAAATCCATAGTCCAGGGCTGTTACAGTTCTCCACAAGGTCGAAGCCTCGTTCTCTCTCTGTTTGCTTTGCCATCTTCAGTGCATGGCTCCCATCACATGGCCTGAGACAGCTGCTGTGGATCCAGCCATCACATCCACACTCCAGTCAGCAGGAAGGAGGGCACACTGTCTGTCTGCTGTGTCGGTCAGAACTTAATTCCAAGGCCACAGCTCATGTGAGAGAGGCTGGAGAAGGCAGCCTTCCTCCTAGGTGGCCATGCACCCAGATAAATGTCCAGGGTTCTTTGACTGAGTCAGGAGCGGGACATGGATATTGGGGGACTCAGGTATCCCTGTCCCACCTCCCTCTTGATATGGGGAGGGTTTAAAACAAGGCATCACATCTAGGATTTCAATATTAACAAGATTTGTTCTAAAGCATATACTGGTTCAGGTGAAGTAAGTGCTAGAAGTCCTTCAATCCACATCCTCCTGTTTCAGATCAGGAAACTGAGGCCCAGAGAGGTTAATCGCATCAGCTGAGATCACACAGCAAAAATGGTGGCATCTAACTCCCAGCTCCTGTTCAGTGGGAGTAGTTTTGTTTTTCTCTTTCTTGCCTTAAGAAAAAAGCTGCGTTCTAGAGGGATGGGAGCTCGAGCACGGAGGATGAGAGTCCAGCCATCAGGGGGTCTCTGAGCTGCAGGACACAGGCTGGACGATGCCAGGGTTTGCGGGCCATGATGCGCCCAGGCTTGAGCCATGGCGTCTGAGGACTGCCCTGGCCAGCTGGCGTGTGGCTACGCTGGCACTGCCTGCAGCCCAAGGAGGGTGCAGGTCTGACGCGGCGCTTCTGTTTCAGGGAGTGCTCAGCCAGGATGGGAGGTGCCAGCACACAGGACTTCTTCAAGGTGATGCTGACAGTCAGCTGGCTCCTGGCCTGCTTTCCTGGGGCCATGTCCACAGGTGAGCCACAGCAGGGCAGTTAGAGCGAGGCTGGGGGTGGGGTGGGGGGTAGGGAGG